CTTAGCCTCCAAGAAAAGCCAAGAATATAAAGAGATGAGGAAACAAGAAAATAATTGTAGGCATTAGTGTTTCGTGCCACCCACAACCTTCCTGTCTGTGAGATAATGTGGCAGAGGACCAGACAAAAAGGTGAAAGCAAAGGAAATGAAAAAACTTTCAAGCACACCAGTTCAAATCAATGGTTTTTCCTAGTAAGAGAGAAAAAGATCCCGAGGTCACTTTAAAAATTCTCTGGCCTGAACTGAAAATGGCTGGACCGGAGAGTAGACAAACCTCACCTAGAGGAGACTTCACGATAAATTATGAAGGACGCTGCCTCCCCAGGTTGGGGCGGGGGGGTGCGGGGGGGGGGGGGCGCCTCTTCCCCCTTTAGCTGTGGGCTGTGACTTCCAGGATACAGCAGGCCAAGGCGGCAGAGGGCTGACTGTACCGTGGAGCAGCCTCAGCCAAGTGATCACATGTAACTGGGCGTGTGATATATGGGAACCCTCTCTCTACTATGTTGAACTTGAACTCTAAAACTGTCCTAATATTAGAAGTCTATTTTTAAAAAGAACCACGCAAACAAAACAAAGCACTAGCACTGTTCAACTGGGCTAGTTTCTTAGTTGCTCAACATGTTTTGGGGGTTGAGCCAAGCAATATAAAAATTACCCTGGGCTTAGGACAAAAATACTTCCTAGGACCGTAAGAATAAGAACTTGTGGTATTAGCATTTAAAGTTCCCAAGAAATGAACAGATGTAGGTTCAACTCCCCTGGCTTCCAATCTTACTCTAGTTACAACATGGGAAAATGCAGAGTTCAACTCACCCAATCTATAAAATAGCTTGAAAAATAAAATAGTTTGAAATCCAAGTGCTGGTGACACTTAGGGTGAAACTCTTACCAAGTCCTCATTCTTGGCATTCTGTTCTCTCTCAGATTCTAAAAGGAGACGCAGATTTTTTGCTGTATCGTTCAGATTTTCCTTAGTTTCTTCAAGCTCCTTGATTCTATGCTGTAGAAAACAATATGAAGATTAATAATAATTCCTTATTTTTCTTTTGTTCTTTGAATGTAACCTCAAAATGATCAGGGATTTTTACCTTAAATTTAGTGGCTTCATCAGAGAGAATCATATTTTGTTTCTTGGTTTCTTGAACATGCTTCTTTGATTCCTTGACCTATTTAGATAAAGCATTCAGAATATAGAAATATGAATCAGAGTGCTAGCAAACGTATCTCCACCAGGTGGCCCCTTTAGAAAAAAGGGTAGTACTTTACACACATCATGGTTGCTTCAAATTTGAATGGTTTGTAGAGAATAATGGAATTTAAAAATATGATTTAAAAATAGCATAATAACTATAAGATAGGAGGAGGAAATGAAGCTGGAACCATGGGGGAAAAAACTAAAAGAATTATACCTTCTGCTCATAATTTGACAATTTTTGTACAAGATCTGCGTTTTCTTTTTTGAGCATCTTCAGCTTCTCAGAAATTTGTTGTTCAGTGACTAAAAGAAAGGGGGGGGGGGCGAATCCATAATGGAATTATGACTTCTAAATAAAACTAAATTACCCAATCTATTAGCAACAAAGACATCTTATCCTGCACTATGAAGTAAAAGAACTTCTTAGCATAACTATCAGCCTTTAAAAAGCAATCAGTAGTTAAGAGAAATAAAGGTGTAAAAATATTAAAATTTAAGAAAAATATACTAAGAACCTTTACTTCAATGAGTTTCCAATTAAATTTATTTCAGAGGTAGGAAATACAGTAAAATATTTTAGCTCTATATCCTTCCCTTCAGGAAACCCCTTTCTTCGCAGAAACTGTGGTCATTTCAACTATACATAACTTGCAAAGAGGAACAGATGAAAGTATAGCATATTGATTTGCATCTCTTATTCCTCAAATTATCTACTTAAATATATTTATATACTGTACTGATTATAACATTAGCCCAGGAACACTGTTCACATGTAATAAATTTGCATTCCATCAATATTTAAAGTCAATCTGCCCCAAATTAAACCAATCATCTTCTTCCTACTGCGAGTCTGTTCCACCTCATCCCCTATGTCAGTGGGTAGCATCACCATCTATCTACTCTATCACCCAAACCACAACCCAGCATTAGTTAAACCTTCAGGAGTTAATAAGTCAGTCATATATCAGATGTCACTATAGCTACTTCTAGTGTAAAACTCTTATCAGGCACCAATAATAAGGACACAGCACAATAACAAAACCAGCCTAAATATTTACCTTGGTACACATGGCTCCTTACCTAAAAGAGAAAGAAATAAAATTAAATTTGATTTCATTATTAGAAATAATACAGTTCTAATATAATAGTCAAATCGTAACTACAAGGAAATTTAGTAACAGTTGGTTCAGCCCAATGAGCCATCGGGTTAGAAAAAGGTTACAAAGCATTTTTTTTTTTTAATATATTTTATTGATTTTTTACAGAGAAGAAGGGAGAGGGATAGAGAGTTAGAAACATCGATGAGAGAGAAACATCGATCAGCTGCCTCCTGCACGCCCCCCACTGGCCACTGAGCCATCGGGTTAGAAAAAGGTTACAAAGCATTTCAAATGTAATTGGTAGTGATACTTCATAAATAGTTTGATAGATAAAAGCAATAAGGCAAACACCTCATTTTGCAACAAAAGGTACATTTATATATCTATGGAATGAGCACCAATCTTATTAGCTAAGCACCTAACTTTAAAAAATGAAAATGGGTAGTATTTTCATATACTAATGCTTCATTTACCCGAAATAACCTGACAACCCCAAATTGCCAGAATGAGGTCTAGAAACAATGACTGTTTAAAAAGACAAAAATTAAAGGCATTGTCTTTGTACTAAGACATGCCTCTTCCTCTCACCAGAAAACATCATGGGAATCCTATTTAAAGTTGACTATTGGCTGAATTTAGAAGTCTAATAAATTAGCTCGAGATCATTCAGATTTTCCCAATCCCCTGAGAATAGTGGTCATAATCCTGAAAGGGAAAGGAGACTAGTGCAGGAAAATGCACAAACAAAAAGACAGCTAAGCCCTAGCCGGTTTGGTTCAGTGGAGAGAGCGCTGGCCTGCGAACTGAAAGGTCCCGGGTTCGATTCCGGCCAAGGGCACATGCCTGGGTTGCGGGCTCAATCCCCGGTAGGGGGCGTGCAGGAGGCAGCCAATCAATGATTCTCTGTCATTATCCATGTTTCTATCTCTCTCTCTCCCTCTCCCTTCCTCTCTGAAATCAATAAAAAATAAAAATGACAGCCAACACCAATGAAGACTACACTGGGTTACTTTACAAGGGTAGTGTAGATTACATGCATTGATTTGTGTTCATGGTAGGAAGTGAAAAAGAAACAAAAGGGCCAGTGACTATAAAATATTCCTTGTACCTATGAGGCAAGAGATAAGTTCATCTAATTTACTCACAGCAAGGATGGTTCTCCAGAAGAAAATGACAAATGAAAGAATTCCCAAGAAGGCAGTGATAAGTACAGGCTTCCATGGCAGTCCATAAAAATCAGGCCCGGGCTGAACATCACCAGGCAGTGTAGAAAGCAGCTGAAACAGAAATATCAGAAATAATAAAAACTCTACAGCCGAGCAGCCACAAAGAATTATCCACAGACGTTCTAGAACAACCTCTAGCAGGTAACTACTCCCTCAAAAATCTTCAATAGCTTCCAGGGTTTCTACAAAGACTGGATACTGGCAGCCTCACACTCCTCTCTCCTTTAAAAAAAATATTTTAATGATTTTTTAGCGAGAGTAGAAGAGAGGAATAGAGAGAAACATCCATGATGAGAGAGAATCATGGATTGGCTGCCTCCTGCATGCCCCGCACAGGGAATCGAGCCCACAACCCGGGCATGTGCCCTGACCGGGAATCGAACCCTGACCTCCTGGCTCATAGGTCGAAGCTCAACCATTGAGCCACACCAGCCGGGCGGCCTCACATTTCTTGTTTGATTTGAAATGTTTCTAAACAGGATGAATCCAAATGTCTTTAAGTTGTGCATGTGTTTCCATATGTGACACCACATCACCGTGTCTAACACAGGGCTAGAATCCCTCTGGATTTAGCTGATGTGTATGACTTAAACAGCCACATAAAACAAACAATTAAAATCCGGTACCAAGCAATCAAGTTATACAGCAGCAAATAAAACCAAAATGGTAGAAAGTAACACAAAAAAGTGCACTTTTCCCCTAAGCCTGTATTCCACTCCTACAGACACATGGCGAGGAGGCCGCACAGCTGGTCAGTGGTCTCGGGGGGCGCCCCTGAATGTAACTGTCATCCGTGCACCAAAACGCCTCCATTCTAACTGCTTCCGCGAAGGCCATGCAGGAAACACCCGCCTGTGCTCGGTTCCCAGCGCCGCTGCCGGTTCACGGCACCTGTCCCACTGGCCCCGCCCCCGCGGAGCCGGGGTCACGGGGAGGAGGCGGCGGGGCCGGGTGAGGACGGCGATCTCACGGCGATCGCAGGCCAGGGTAACCCAGCGCCCGCCGCCTGCTCGGGGCTCAATGGGAACCAACAGGCGACACCTCGCCCGCGCCCGCCGCCTCCTGGAGCAGCGCTGCAGGGTCCCGCCGCCTCGGGCCTGGCCCCCGTTTCTCCCTCGCCCCGTCCGCCAGCGCACCCGCTCCCATCAGAACGGCCACCGGCCGGCCCGGGGTCCCCCCCGCCCCCGGAACGGGACCGTCACCTCCAGGAGCTTGGCTATCAGCGCCGCGAAGAACACCGACAGGGGTCCCAGCAGCTCCGAGTCCCCGGGGGAGGCGGAGACGGAAGGCACGGTGGCGGGTACGGAGTCCATGGCGCGGGGGCAGGCGACGGAGGCGACGCTTCCCCGAGGTGCGGCCCCGGGCGCCCCTCTGGTCACCGGCTCCCCCTTCGGAAAGGACCCGAGGGGCGGGAGCTGGCAATGAACTTCGCCTCCCCCGCCGCCAGCACTGACACTTCCTACACCTGCCCTCAACCACGTCATCGGCCCCTGCCCCCGGGCGACGTCAGCGTGCCGGCGGGGGCGCGGCCTTGGTGGGCGGGGCCTAGGTGGGCGGGGCCGCGGCGGGAGGAGCCAATGGTCGAGCGCGGCGGGGAGGGAGCGAACGGACCTGCGCGGAAGGAACGGACCGGCGCGGGAAGGAGGCGCACCTGCCGCAGGTACGGGGGGGGAGAGCGCGATCGAGGGGAGACCCCGGCTACGGGAGGAGGTCGGGGGGGCGGGGCCGGCCACTCGCCCGCCCGAGCCGGACCCTCAGTCCCCGCGGGCTGAGCCCCCCGACACCTGCGGTCGCTCCGCTCGCTGGACCGCTCGGCCTCCCTGCGCTCAGGTGCCCGCCCCGCTCAAGGCTCCCTTCCCGACCGACCGCCGGGGGCTCCAGGGCCTCATTTCCTGCTGATGCCCCTTCAAAAGCCACGTCCTAAGGAACCGCGCCATTATCACGCCCGCGCCAGTGGGCTCAGGGGGTCCCGCGTTCGATGGTTACGGGACTCATGGAAAGAAGAGGATTCGGAAGAAACGGGACAGGAAGCTGGAGAGGAAGCAGTCCTGGCAGATTCTAGAGGCATGTCTCCGGGCTGAGTGTCGAGTCCATTCAGAAGAACAACAGAGCAGGGACAACCAGGGAAATCCAGAATTACGCTTTATACCCCCTAACAGCGGTTCCCAACCTCCTGGCCCTTTAAATACAGTTCCTCATGCTGTGACCCAACCATAACATTATTTTCGTTGCTACTTCATCACTGTAATGTTGCTACTGTTATGAATCGTCATGTAAATATCTGATATGCAGGATGGTCTTAGGTGACCCCTGTGAAAGGGTCGTTGGACCCCCAAAGGGGTCGCGACCCGGTTGAGAACCGCTGCAACCTTCTATTCCTAGCACAAGACTTGGTGCATATTGGGCCATCAAAATGCTTTGTACCTTTCAAACCAATGTTATTTTGCAACATTGCACCCTTTTCTCTTGCCACTCGTATCTGTCTTCTCCCATCAACCCCCAAGCAGGTACTGTAACCTGTAGCACATCTGTGTCCCCCAACCCTGGGCTAGAACAGGGCTCTGTGCATACTGTAAGTAAAGGGAATAAAGAATCCCTCCCACATATGGAGACGGTGAAACTGTGGGAGGGATGATGATGTATTCTGATCATCAAATGTGAATTCTGAGCCTCCCTTAATCGCTGGAAATTTCATTATTCTGCCTCACAGGTCACACACACCTTCACCCGGACCTGCTGCCACCCACCACAATGACCATGGAGGAAACTGAAAAGCAGTTTGGTTTTCCTCCAGCCTTCCCATCCGGTGGCCTTCCTCCTGAATTCCTTAGGTATTTGACATCTTTATACTGGACCCCTGGTCATCCAAATGAGAAGCAGGTAGGGGGTGACATCTACAAAATGCCAGGCACTGTGCTAGACACTGTCTATTATCAACTCATGTAGTCCTGACAACGATCGGAGTAGGTATTATCTGCTTTGTGAAGACGAGGAAGCTGATATTCAAAGTTTAGTAATTTGCCCACGCTTCTAAATCAGGGGTGGGGAACACTTTTCTATCAAAGGTCATTTGGATATTTGTAATATCATTCGTGGGCCATACAAAATGATCATCTTAAAAATTAGCCCGAAATATTTGGTCAGACATTTAATTCACTCACCCCTAATGCGTGGGCAGGGCCAGACCAAATGATTTCTCGGACCTTACACAACCTGAGGGCCAGGCGTTCCCCACCCCTGTATCTAAATGATGTATCTGGGATTTGAAACCAGATCATCCTGGCTCAAAACCCATGCATTTTACAGAACAAAAAAACTCCTCTTTCCTACACAAGTTTTGAAATCACAGAACCAGGAGGAAAAGTATTTTTGTAGGGGAGGATACTTTCTCTGTAGCTTCAAATAATTTACCAAGAAAAACCACCCCATTTCAACAAACACCACAAGGGGGAGCTATGACCTAAAAAGCTTAGGTAAAATAGATTAAGTATCTCATTTGGGTCATGACTTCCTTTAGGAAGATAAATCTGAATATTTTACCGTAAGTGACTCTTTCAGAGAAGCAAATCTGACCATACCCCTTTTCTGCTAAAAACTCGAAAGAACCGACCCCCATCCCTAACAGCCTAACACACCAAGATATACAACCTCCTTTATGCCTGACCATTACTCTGCATTTGAATGACACAACAAAGCTTCCCTGGCTCCCCCAAATAAACTTTTCTTTATGCCTCCATCTCCTTGAACATGTTATTTCTTCTGACTGCACACTGCCCCGTCTCTCCTCCACACTCCTCCAGCCCCTCACCCCCGCTGTCCTTCTATTCAACAACAAACTACACATCAAACTCCCACTGGCCCTTCAACTCTGCCCCAAACATATCTCAGCCCACTTCTGACATCCTCTGACCTTTCTCCCACCACAGTGAATCAATTTATTTAACACAGTGCTCACCACCAGGTAAACACTCTCTTTCGGCCTGTATGGAAGTGTGTTCAGGTGGATGTCTCTATCTCCTTGCCGTGTTTTACAGCCGTGCATATGCCCAGCTCGGGCACACAGAGATCCTCCTAAGTGCTGCGCTGACCTACGAGCCCATCAGAGTCACGTAGCTGAGGCCCTCTTCAAAGAATCGGGAGTCATTTTCAGAAAAACACCTTAGCTTTCTCACCTCATGCTCGAAATCAACTTAAAAACTGTAGTCATCAACATTCTATTTGAAGAAACCATGTATGGCAAACTTACCGTCTTAGTCAAATAAACCATGACAGGCGTGGCGCTAGCTGGCTCTTCGGCATGTATTTCTAGTTGCTCTTTTCCATCCACAAAATAGTCAGGAGTGCTTTCGGTTACAAATATCCCTAAAGTTGAGGGGGGGAAAGGAATATTTTATTGTATGCTTTAGAATAAGGATTGTTTCTCTTCACTTACAATATTTACGAGTGCCCACTAAGCAGTAGCCACTGTGCCGGGATCTGTGGCTGTTAAAGACGATTATATAGAGAGGAAATCCCAGAATTCCCATTGGGGCCATCAAAGCCTTCAGTTATAAAACGAACATAGCTCTGCCCTCGCTGGTGTGGCTCAGTTGGTTGGGATTAATCTTGGGCACCTAAAGGTTGCTGGTTCGATTCCCAGACAGAGCACATGCCTGGGTTGTGGGCTCAATTCCCGATATTTTGCTCTCTCCCTCTCCCTTCCTCTCTCTCTAAAAAATGTTGTTTTTAAAACAACTTTCTCAGTTCAGACAAAATGAATTGCTCTCCCACTAGACGTTCGCTGTGCTCTGTGATCCAGTTACTGTTCACAAGTGTCTGTCTCCACTGGACATCCCACCCTGCTACATTCTGTACTGTTTCCTGAACTCATACAGTATAACGATATATGGACATAAATACCCTGTCCCTGTGTTTTTTTATATATATAATATATATATTATTGATTTTTACAGAGAGGAAGGGAGTGGGGTAGAAAACTAGAAACATCGATGAGAGAGAAACATTGATCAGCTGCCTCCTGCACACCCCCTACCAGGGAGGTTCCCGCAACCAAGGTACATGCCCTTGACTGGAATTGAACCTGGGACCTTAGTCCGAAGGCCAATGCTCTATCCACTGAGCCGAACCGGTTGGGGCCCTTCCCTGTTTTAAAAAGTTTTTTTTTTACCATGTCCAGGTAGCATATCAACAAAAGAACTGAGCTACACTGTGTTCTACTTCGGGGGAGGTGGAGTGTGGAATGGGGGTGAAACACTGAATTTGTGAGTTTTGGAGCAGCGGTTCTCAAACTTTCAACCAATCAGAATTTCCTGGAGGGCTCGTTAAACTCTGATTGCTGGTTTCCACCCTGAGAGTGTCTGCTGCTGCTGATCTGGTTGCAACTGTTTTAGAGCCTAAGGCTTTTAAAGTACATTTTAGTTTAAAATGATTTGCCTAAGCTAATGCTAGCAGTCATTGGTGTGTGGGTTACTGACAGTCTCCGGCCTGTGTCCTATGATTGATCTCATGTGTCTTAGCTCCTGCTTCTGTTGGTTCTAGGATTTCTTACTTTCAGAATGTGTCATACCTGTATTACTTTCCCCTCTGTTTCCGATCTTTAATAACAAACCTCCCAGAAGCTCTTCTTTATGACATGCCTCTACTTGGTAGAGAAAAATTAGCAAGCTTTACCTGGGTGCTCGTCTTTCTCAGTATTTGGCTTCTGTGGCACTTCTAAGACACCCACGTGACTAGTCACGGGTTGATCTGAATGGCCAGGCTCCTCAGGAATCTGCATTTTGAGATCTTCTATGTTCTCTTGTGGGAAATTATCTTCCAGCGGTGGCTGTATCTCTACGGGGAAGAATGCATTGTGCGGCAAAGCTTGCTGACTCCCCCTTGAACTCCTCCCTCTGAGCAGCACCCCATCACAGCCCTGGGGCAACCCCTCTGCCCTCGGAGTGCCGGCAGCTCATGGAGCACAAGTGGGCAGGAAATTAAGAGTTTCAAATGATTTGATCTCACTTCAAAGATAGCTAATCTACATAGTAAAATGTACAAAGAAACCCTTCTTCCAAAGTAAATACATAATTAAATGTATTTACAGTAGGGACGTCAATAACCTAACGTCCTCTGGCCCACACAGATAAATGTGCGAGAGAATCCAGTCAAGAGAAAAACTAGGAAATGTCTCTTCGACACAGAAATGACATGAACTCTCTCATACACAAGCACGCCTGTCTCAGAGCCAGCACAGAGAAGGGCGTTACATACAAAGGCAGCTTGCTGAAGTGCCTTCCCATATTGTCAAAGCACCTCTAACGGTCAAAGAGAACCCATTTCTGTCCCTAAGAGGCTCAGGGCATAGCCCAATGTGTGACCACAACAGAGATGGGTTTCTTTCAAACCTCAGAATCTACCCTGAAAATTCGAGTTTTATGTTCTAACCCAATACATATCTGCATTCATGAAATGCAAAGGTAGTCGGTTCCTGCCCAAATGCTCGGGGAAATTGACATCTGGGGAGAAACATTGACCCTGTGCCTTCCTGTCCCCTGGTTCTCCTCCACATACCCTCAGTTCAAATCCCTGAGTTTGAAAAGCATGGGGGGCAGAGATGAGGGCGTGGAACTCAGAAGCAGCTTATGTCAGGACACTGGCTCAGGGCCAGTTCGACCACTATTTACTCGATGGCTTCTGTGTCAGCTGCTGTGTTAGACTTTCTCTGCATCCTGGCTCACTGCTTGGCCAATCCGAATGCATGAACCCCAGGGCCCAGTAGAATTGACCTGACCTTGGTGATTGCTCCCAACAGGCAGAAAGAACATGACATCCACCAAAGATGCAAGCTGGGAAATGAAATCCCTCAGGCAAGGCATCAACTGAAAAGTTAGGCCAGTCAATCCTTGTTCCTACTGCACTTATTTTATGATTGAGAAACTGTGTTCCCAAAAGCGCTTTCATAATTTCACATGGAACTTGTACTTGGTTAACAGGTCTATTTTGTGCATCTTTTTCTCGTTTGCATCTTTATCTTTTTAAAGTTTCCTTTCGAAAGTGCTGCCATTCTCAACTGTTCTAAGAAGAAAACAGTAAGAAGGCCTTATCCGTGCCTGAAACAAGGCAGGAAGGGACGTGTGGATGTCACTGTGCTGCCTCTTGCCTTTAGACATGCTGTCAGCTGTGGGCAGGGCTTTACAAATAAGGTATAAGGCCCTTCAGCGAACCCCCAACCCAGCTCGACAAGGTCACAGGCGGGGACTTACCTTCTGCTGGTCCCCCCCAGCCTCCCTCTGGAGGCTGTGTCGTTGCCAGTGGTCCATTCTCCTCCCCTGTGGAGTGTGTGTACCTGACAAAATAGATCAGGTCCTGAACATCGTCTAGCACTGCAGCCTCTTCAAGAATGTCACGCTCTTTCATTCCCGAATCCCTCCATTCGGTCACAAGAGCATCGAGCATTTTCTCTGCTACGTTCAAAATCTGTGACTCAGACGCCCGGAAGACCTTATCCAGGACTTTCTCCACATTGTAGGGCAGGCTGTCCCGCTGTGCCGACTTCAGCTTTCGCGACATTTCTTGGAGCATGGCTTCCAGCTCGTGGACATCAAAGTACTTCTGGAACCGCTGCAGAGACTGCTGCTCCTTAAAGAAGCTGCTGATGATAGGCAGGTCCTCCCTGTGGGCGCTGTGCTCTGGCTTTGCGGTTGTGTGTGCAGCCCCGGGGACGTCGCCTTCCCGTGCCTCAGCAGCAGCCCCCTGGCTCTGTGTGTCCATGAACTTCTCTGTGTCCTCCTGGCCCGCTTTCGAGAGCTCTACCCCAGGCTTCACTGCGAGCCCCGAGGTCTTCGCGTGTTCCTCAGGGTCGTCTTCTTTAAGATAACCAGGGTCTTGACTCCGAAGTACTTCACCTAACTCCGGAGTCTGGTATTTTCTCTTGTCAGGAAAGCCACTCCCTTCAGATGGTCCCTGTGCTTTCTTACCTGCAGGAGGGCTTTCTTCTGTTTCTACCTCCGGGCCACCAGGCTCCTTGCCTAGCGTGCCTACCCCTCTGCCCTCAGTTTCATTTTTGCTTTCAGTTTCCAAAATATTACTAGTGTTTTCTTTGCTTTCTTCAGTTTCTACATTAGTATTTATGGCGTCGAAAATTCCACTTCCAGAGACTTGTGGATTAACATCTAACTGCTTGTCCTGCATCTCAAGGCCTTTTTCTTTAGACTGTTTTGCACTTACAGCATTTTCGTCCTCCAGCAGTTCTTCAGCGCTGGGATCTTCCTCCTCTGCCTCTGGTTGTTCAGGATGGAAACCTGGTACTTCTGCGCTATCAGTCTGGCCTGCTGTTGCCGCTTCCGGAGTGCCCGGCTGTGGATAAACAAGCTCTTCACTGAAGGTGTCCCCTGTGACCTCTTCCTCATTCAGCCTTGTCTTCCCCTTCACGTCCGTATTAACTGCAGCAGCCACATCTCCTCCTGGCTGCCCGGAGAGATTTCTTCCCAGAATGGAACCCTCATCTTCCAGTTCTGCTGACGAACCAATTTCATCGGGAGAGGAGAACCTAGGTTGATTTTGAGTTTTAAGAAGCTGTTCCTCTTTAAATTCCTCACTTGGATGCTCTGCTTTGGGCATGTGTTGTTCTGGTCCATTTCCGGAAACATCTATTCCCTTCTCCACACTGTCTCTGGATGCATTATGCTCATTATCTCCCAAGAGCCGTGTATCATCCATGGCTTCCTGTTTAATCTTTTCTTCCTTCATTTCATTCCCGGCAGCTCTATGTTTCCATACATTCACTGAGCCACCTTCCGAAATCTGTTCTCCAGGCTTCTCTTCATGGGCCATTCCTTTTGAGATATGAACAGCTGCTCCTTTTAGGTCATTTTCTTTGTTATAAAAGGCTGATTTTAATATTTCTCTACCCTTTTCAGTAGCTGGCAAAGAGTTGAGGTTACTGCTTTGCATAGAACCAGGCAGAGTCCTGTCTTCTTTCTTTCCATCCTCCAGTCCTTTCTTACCTTCCACCAGGTCCCTGTTGGACTCCTCAACTGTCCTCCCTTTTCCTTTAATATGAAGTTCTGTGTCCATTACTGGGTTTTTGTCATTATTTGTTTTAGGAACTACATCTTCTGCCTTTTCAGGGTCATTATCATCTGCTGCTGATTGTGGTTTCCCCCATTTGCTGTCTGGGATTAATCCATCCTCACCTTCCTCTTCTTCCTCTGAATCAGAACTCTCAAAATCCATACCTGTTTGCTCTTCACCTTCTGTGACAGCAGAGAAGACAGTATCCTCCAAAGAT